GTCCGCCACCCCGCGCCCCGTCCCCGCGGCCGCGCTGTCCCTTTAAAGCTCCAGCCCCTCTAATTGATGTGTCTGGGCCAGTCTAGACTGGCGGAGACTGAAGCGGTTCGCAATTACGCGGGGCGGAGGGGCGCGGAGCCTGCGCGGGGTCCGTCCTTCCCCCTTTCCCCCCTTTTTCCCCAACCCAACCCAATTCAACCCAACCCAACCCAATTCAAACCCTCCCCGCCCATTGTTTTGCCGCAGCCCCGCGCAACCCCCGCCCCGCACCGCGCAAGCAGCGCGGACACAATAGCGACCCCCGGGGAGGGGACAGCGGGGACCCCCCAACCCCGGCACCCCGAAAATCGCGCTCCGCGCTGGGGGATGCGCGGAGATGCGGGAGATGCGCGGGGGACCCATCCCAGCCCCGCAGACAAAGCGCTAGACCCTTCCCTTCTGGCGGAGGGGGGGAAAAATTGCGATTAAAAGCTTSGGGAAAGGGTAAAATCACCCCAAAAAACCTACTTTTTGCGGGTTTGGTATTGAGTGGACAAAGGTGAGAGCTTCAGCGCTCCGTATTTCAATTTAGAACGCCAAGCAGGTAATAAAAATTAATGCGGCTCGCTTTGGAATTAAAGAACGTTTGGAATAATATAGAAATTCAGGAGTACAAGGCTTTCTTGGGTTTTTTTTCCCCGCGAAGGTAAAACTCAGTGAAATTACAGTGGCAAGAAAAAAGCAGCTAAAATTCATTAAAAAAAAAAAAATCAGAATCAAACAGGCAACCTTTTCCAGTTCAATAACTGTTAAACAACAGGAACCAGCAAACATATCCTAAAGCTCTGAAATACCAAAATGTTACACCGTCAATTAATTTTTGGTGCATCACGTTTTAAGTTGAGGCATTTGCATTCAAATATCAAACAGTAATTCGGATCCATAACAAGGTACAGTAACTTCATTATAAATTGCCTTGAAGAACAGAGATAAGAAATACAGTTCCAACCGTAATTAATTTTACAGTAACACAAAAAAAAAAATCTCATAAAGGAAAACAGCAGCAGGAAACATTTCGAACATTTCTGATTCATCATTTACATATCATATCGCCCGGAAAAGCAGCAAAGCTTGAAGTTCTAGAAAAGGACTCAAAGAAAACTTCAGCATTTCTTTTCAGTTTCCAACCATTAATACATGCAACCATTTTATTCCGCAGTTTATTTTTCCACCTATAAAATCCAACCCGTCTCCTGGCTTTTTTTTTTTTCTTTTCTCTCTCCTTTTTTTTTATTTTTTTTTCATTTTTTTATCCTTTTTTTTTTTTTTTTTTTTTTTTTTTTTTTCTGATATAGTTTTATTTTTTTTTTTGATAAAATTCCTAGTAATGACCACAAACTAAATTTTTTTTTTTTTTTGTGTGTCCATAGAGCACATTTCCAAGATTAATCGTTCAGTTTTAAACTTGGAAGCATGAGGCATGCTGGGATTTCAGCTGAGGTCAAGCACCAATGTACCGAGCTGTTACTGTTACGCTCTCAGGGTACTCTGTGTTGCTCTCAAGAAGGGGGGGAAGGCAAAAAAATTAAAAAAAATATAAAAATCGAAATGCTCTATGCAGTGGCCTGCAGCAAAAAATCTCCYTCTTTCACCACAGGCGTGGTATTAGTATTCCTCCATATAATAGATATATTTTTGATTTTATTTACCTACAGAAATGAATACATATGTAGCATCCTCGCACACACCTCAATAACTGTATTTACATGCGTCCATATCATGTATATCTTATCTACACACGCATATATAATAATCACTCTGTGTGTACACACATACACCCCCATATCTGGATCAGCTGGAAAATTATCTCGTGAATATACACACACATATTTAAAAAAAAAAAATCGGAAAAAAAAAATCTGTGTGGTCCAAACGCTCATTTAATTTGATTTTTTTTCATACAGAAAATGGCCATAACCACCGCCCTACATCAGCCGATGGAGCCTGAGGAGGAGAAATACACTTATTTTTCCCTTAAAAGGTCTCTAAACACTATTGTATGTGTGTGTATACGGCTCTAAATATACACACCCGCGCTCACACATATACACAGAGAGAGAGGAGATATTTCTAAAATAAAATAAAGATGTCAAAGCACAACTCACAGCTCCCAAGAGCCTAACCCGTGGATTTAAAAGCTAAACATCACAAGTTAGGGTCTCAGGGATTGAGAGGGGCGCAACAAACTAGTCCTTGCAAAAAAAAAAAAAAAAAAAAAAAAAAAAAAAAAAAAAAAAAAAAAAAAAAAAAA